GTTTTTTTTTTTTATTCGTTGTGTTTTCTTGCTGTAGTTTCTCCCCATGATTACTGTTTAGTGTTTTATTAGTTTAATTATCGTTATATTTAGCAACTGTACTTTGAAAATGTATAAAGACTGATGTAAATTCATTTATTCTGCTTTAAATACTGAAGATGGAATCTGATAGAATTCTGAAACGTTTATCCATGTCCCCTTTTTGTCAATAAACAGTGTTGTTTATCATAAGGGTCGTAATCTTGTTTATAATCAAATTTTGTTTTCCTTCGAACACATCGATTGCTATAGTTCTAGCAGATTGTGAATAAGAAAGTTAAAATCATAACAGCAAGTGACAATTAAAAATTTTGAGTCTCATAATAGTGACATTTTACTGTAATTATAGTGAGCTATGAGAAGCAGAATCAAGCTAGAGATTCAGAATTATAAGTTATTTTATATACATTATAAGTAAAGATGTTTGTATTTGTTTTTTTACACATTGACTATCTGTCTGTAAATAAATTTGTTATATGTGTGAACAACCACTCCTTTGCTGTTCCTATACTAAATTATTTTATGGCATTTTTACTTTCAGATATAAAAGAAAGCATGGTAGTTCTAATGCATACATGTATATTAAGTTATAAAATTATGTATAGACAGTGTGTATCTACCATAGTAAACACATTGAAATAGTTGTACAAATTATAAATGAAATATATTAAGCATTTTTTTTTATTTTACTTCTGTAGCTAAGCCATGATCAAATTTAGTATTAAGCATATTTGTACATACTTTCATTCTTAATGTTAATAGCAAGAAGTTTTTATTTTTATCAGCTAGTGTTTGCTCAGCATTTCTTAACCATTTGTTTGTGTTAAATGGTTATTTCATTCAGGCTGTATTTTAAGTTTATATTGAAACATTATTTTACATTTGAAAATATTTTGTTAATCATTTATGCAACAATTGATAACTTGCCTAGAGTAAGTAAAATTAAACAAATTGTATATTGCCAGAATTAAGCCCCCCAGTGTCTTAGCTGTAAGTCATAAGAGTTACAACACAACAAACTTGTTTTTGATACCTGTGGTAGACACAGAACAGATAGCCTATTGTGTAGGCAGAAATTTTTTCACTTGCCACTAGCCTTGCAACTCCCACTTCTGCATGATCATTTACATGTTGATACGTAGAAAGAAGTGGGAGTTGCAAGGTTAGTGGCGAGCAAATAAATTTGCACTGATAGAAGGCAGTATTAATCAAGAAAGCTTTTTGTTAGAGGAGGTAAGTATCTATCAGAATACAATTTAAGTTTAGGAAAATGTTAACATTAAAAACAAGTATTTTAGTTAAAAACTTGGTTTTCTTAAAAGTAAAAGCTTGAAGTAAAAATCCTCTTTTTCTTTTTTTTTCATGTTTTCTATTGTTTGATGAATCTATGTGAAAAAGAGTTTCAATTTAATAATTTTCTGTTTATGTACTTTATAAATAAATTTATTCAAGAGTGTGTTTTAACCATACAAAAACTGCCACATTATATAATAAAAGTTCTTTGTGATTGTTTTACACATTTTTTAAGTGTTATTTTCTGTTAGTAGATAAAAATACATGTTTAAAATTCAACTATTGTTTTATGATCAGTTGGCTTGCCTATATTGCTTATCTTTTTAACTTTATAAAGGCCTAAGACATTTTTACTTGAGAATTATTTAAGTTAGGTCAAACTTTGATTAAAATAAAAAAATTACTTGCTGCTCATAAAGCTTTTTTTTTATATATATTTTGTCTGCTGTTACAAAAAACAACTCAAAATAATAATCAATTGCTTCCTGATTAGACTCTTAAAACAGCTATCAACACTATTTCAAATGTGGATGTGTAACCTTACTCTTACAATTATGCACTTTTTAAACAAAAAATTTGTAACAGAATAGAAAAATTTTATTATAATTCGTGTTAAAAGTACAGTTTTGAATTACTTAAAAATGCTTCATTATAAATTAAAACAAAACAAAATCATTCTGTATAGTTTTTATGCTAGTTGATGATACCTGTATGGGAAAAATTAAAAACAAAATTCTATCTACACCATTGGACAGTTCCAAGTTACCATATAAAAATTACATTACTCAAGCCAGCCAACCGTTAGTGATGGAAGATAAAAATTTATAAAAAAGTAGGAATGTGCCTTATTTCAGGGTGTTCTTTTTATCTTCCTTCTTAAACAAAATAACCCATGAACACAATTGGACAGTTTTCAGTTACCATACCAAAAATTACAGTAATTGAGCCAGCCAACTTTGGATGCTGGATGCTAACACATACACACAAGATGTAAAGAAATTTAGATTTTACTGACTTGAAACATTTACAAAGGGAATAAAAACTGTTTTTTTTCCATTGCATAATTTCTTTAAAAATGAAATTTTGTGAAACATTTGTTTCCACAAATCTTTTTTGTTTGTTCAGTCTGTATCAACTGACGACTATTAAATGTATATTTTAAGCTAAGTAACATTTGTTATAACTCTTAGCAAGCTCGGAATTTTCTTCTCCAGCATTCTGCTTATCTTTGTCTTTTTAACTTCTTAACTTGCTGTCTTCTCTACCATTTTTATCTGAGATTCTGCATGCTGCTCTGTTTTCTTCAGCTGTTGTCCAGTACACTTGCTTCTTTGTGGGATTTGCTTTGTTAGGATGCTTTATTTTTCTGTATTCTTTACCACACAGACAGGTTGATTTATTCTCAGACTGCTCCTTCCCCCAAAGATTTGGGTGACTCAGAAGGTTAATTGGATATTTTCTCCAATAACCCTCACTTTCCCTTCTTCTCTGTATAATCATTCAGATCATGATCTTCTCCTTTGTCTTGTTCAGGCAGTATTCTGTGATATCTAACTTCTACTGCACCATTTTAAGGCAGTAAACCTAATATTACTTGCTGTGGGATTTCTCTTCTACTTTCACCAGTTGTAATGTACAATATCTTTTACTTTATATTCCTTTCTAGGAGACAACTTATTTCATGTTTTTCATGTCACTTCTCATCAAGTTAATAATCTCATGGTTTTTCTTGTTCTCTGGAACTTGATGTCTCATGGGTGAGATATTGCTGGTGAAAATGTGGATGGCCTACAAAAACTTTGTGTCCATTACTTACACTACATTTGGAGGCGGTAAAAAGTTATGGGTTTTTTTTTTCATGTAGCTTCCATGAATAGAAAGGTCCCCTACCACCCCCACCCCCCAAAAATATATAAACATACGTGCTGAAAACAGTGGAATCCATCCATGCTCAGTGTTGCTATAAAGGAATGCTTCTTTCTCCCAAAATTTGCACCAAGAGAGTGTTAAGCCCATCTGCCCCTGTGTAGGCCTGCTGCAAGATTTCCTAGGTTTTATGTTCCAAGATATACTTCTCCTTCCAAACAGCAAAACTCAGCACCAGGTTAGATTCCCCACTGTCACATCTGGCCAGTTTTAGCTGTCCATATTTGCAGAAAGCCATAGCATAGTCTCTTACGTCTGAGAGCTTATGCATATTATTAATAATTCCAGTTCGGTTATGCACCCTTCTTTTTTTTTTTCTTTTCCTCTGTGAATTCCTCCCTTCCTTTCTCTTCTAGTATAGTGGTAGAACCTTTGCTTCCTTAGCAGCTTGCGACTTTCAAGGTTGATATGTAGAGTTCCACTTTGGGTTGGTTTAATCCAACTAGTATAAGACAGAGTGGAGGTGCCCATTAAACAGAAGTGGGGGCAAGGGTATTTATAACAAATCTTATTTATAATTAACAAATACTGTCAAAGGTAGTCTAGTGGCTGCCTTACATCTTTGGGTTGTGACGAGATAGAGTTGGACATAAGTTACATTACAGTATAAGAAAGCCACTAGCAACATTATGCCTTTATTACTTTATTACAATGGAACAGTCTTTGTGAGAGCCAGCCATTATTTACAGTGCTATGCAAGTGTTAAGCTTTGTGCCAATTGTAGCTGTTCAAAAATGCCATAGGAAGGAGTTCAGTAATGTAAAAACAAAAAATGATACTGTTTCACAGTATAATGAATAACTACATTTGTTATGTACACTATAATCTCAATCTTCTCAAAGATGAGGACATAGACATTGGATCTAGATGAAAAACAACAGCATGGATTGAGAACTAAGAGCAAAATCTAGCAGCTGTGACTGTTGAGTACTTGTGAGAATGGAGTCAGTGAAAATAAATTCTGTGTAGGTAGTAGTCAGGAGTGACTAAAGAAAGATAGAGAGTAGTAATTTGGTGTGTGTGTGTGTTTTCTTATAGCAAAGCCACAGCGGGCTATCTGCTATGTCCACTGAGGGGAATTGAACTCCTGGTTTTAACATTGTAAATCTGAAGACTTACCGCTGTCCCACCAGGGGACAGTAATTTGGTGATTTGTGGATGGTAACTACTTGTGGTTCAAACCGTTTATTGTTTTTAGTTGCTCAGAAATACTAAAAAAAAATGCAATAAAAATACAAAATCACTCTAAGGAAAATAGAATAATAGATATGCTACTATAATTATTTCTACTGTACCCCTTGTAAATATCCTCAACAAGAAAAGTTCCAGCATTAAATAGGTGCCTAACACTCATATTGTTTATCACTAACAATATTCAGTATGAAATCCAAATTATAGAATTGCACATAACATTTTCTACCTATTAGTTTTTAGAAAATTTACAACAACTTTACTAATGGTATGAGTATAAATATTTCCTATAACCTTATTTTCAGTCTACCATTTGTTTTATTTAAGTCTAATTTTCAAGTATCATATGTATGCTTGTAGGTTCTCTCCTTGTACTGGTAATGATTGGTAGTATGATGGCACCTCATGGTAACAAGGAAAGAAGATGGGAATACTATTGTGAAGTTTTGGAAGAAAGGGACTTGGGGCGAATTCGAAATAACTCTGGAAGCTCGAAGACTCTTCATGATGTTATTGAACTGTGTTTAGAGGACACGCTGACGAAGAAAGAGCGTGCTTTTTACAGTGACTTTGCTTTATTCATTGATGATGTTATCATTCCAAACAAAGTAAGAATCGTTATGTGTTGGTGTGTGTTGCGTCAAAGCTGGCAAGACATGATTTTTCTAGGTTTGAAAAGTGTAGTGAAGTGTCAAAATAAGATTACTATTAACTATTACTCCTTGATTTGTAATCAGTCCCTTATGATAAAGGTAAATTAAGCCTAAGATGTATCCTAAGTGGATTTTTCTTACCAGGTTTAAATAATAAAAATTTTTTAAACAAAAATCTTCACTAAGAATAAAATTTGATATGGAGTTAATATAATTTTAGTTACTGTTTATATTTCATCATGGACATCTGTTTAATGTTGTCTTAACTTTGCATCAAATAGCTATTCACCCAAACCTTTTAGTACTGAGACCCACCTGGTCTGATGACATTAGGTACTGAGAAATAGTTATCAGAAGTTTGGAACAAAGCTGTTATGATATTCTGTTAATCGCATATGAGAGTTGGCTGGCATTTGATGAATTTTCATCACCTCTATTGTCAAATAGGTCATCCACCCAGTTTATTCAAATCTGCTGAGAAAAATGTTGGTGGGGTGCAAGAATCAGAAACAAAATACTTGTACTTGTAGGCTCAACCTAAAATTACTTTGTCTGCTTTGATCTTTTACTAAACAAAATCCACATATGAGGGTCCCTGTAATGGAGGTAAGTTTCAAGTCTTTTGCTACGAGCCTTTAAGGAGTGGGTTTTTTCAGTCATTTGTTTAGAATTAACACAAAACAGTAGATTTTTTTTTCCACTGGTCTTTATTTTTGTGTGAAATCATTTAGATGAACCCTAAATTGGATAGAGATATAAATGATCCTGTGAAAGTTGGTAATTATGTTCAGTATTTAAGGACTTTTTTTTTTTTCAAGTGAAAACTTATTATTAACATATCAAATGTCACAGATTCAAACATTTTCAGTCTCATAAGTTATTTTATACACAGGAAAGTGAACTTGTTGAACCAGGGAATTTCAAATGCACAAGAAATCAGGGTAGAAAAAAAATAGTCTTAGTTTATAAATGGTTGATCAGTGATTCACCCTTTTGGAAACTTATTTGTGCAAGTATTGCTTCAGTATTTTGTAAAATGAACAGTCTGTGCATTGCAATTATAAACACCTTTCTTTACTATCTATCTAAATATTTTATTAAATTATCAGCTTGTGTTTACTAGTCTGTAATGTAGGTAATTTGAACATCAGTTATAGTGGCAAAAGTCCAATGTTTACTAATCATTCTAGCAGTAAAGAATGTTAATAGTTTGTACCCCAAAATAGTTTAGAATGCACCAAAGAGTACATATACCCCTCTAGCTTCACTTCGTTGACCTTATGAACTTGATGGACTGGGATCAAGGACCAACCCAAAGTTTTGTTTGTTGTTCTCATCCCTGATTAGTATACTTTTTGAGTGAAAAGAATTGTATTAGACTAGCTAAGAACCTATGTTACTTTGATGTTTTGTGTCACTTTTTGAGATATCAAAGCTCAACCTTATGGAAAATATATTACATTATTCACTTCACATAACTAAAAGTTAGTGTATCAGTGCTGGACTGACCCTTATTTATTCTGTATTTTAGTCTCCTGATTTCATCATAAAGTCAGTCTTCATTTATTGATGGTTTTATATCCTTTACCAACAAAAACAGATGTGAAAAGATGATATATTCAGGTGAAACTGATTCCCTTTAGATTGATGGGATAGGTCCACAGAATAACAGGAGATTCCACAAGACATTCATTATGAAATAATCTTGAGCTCTATGACTTTGAGTTTGAGAAAGAAAGAGACTGGACATAATGAAAACAATATTTATCTATACTCAAAAAACAATCAGTTAGATTAGTTCATAGGACGAAGGACAGCAACTTTATTTGATAAATGACTAAAGTCTCCTAATAACTTATAAAAAGGCTTATTAAGAACTAGTCAATGTTACACATTAAACTTTAGGAGAATATTACTATCTTCAAAGAAAGGACTTAAACATCACTTATCAAATTAAGGGTATAAGCTGGAGAGAGATAAAAGGCTAACTAAGAAATTCCAAAACACACTTACTGCACTGACACTAACAGCTATTCTTTGACCTTCAGGTTTTCAATTTTGCCCATCTAAGCATTTGTCTTGCTTGCTCCAGTCTTTTATACCCTACTTAAATGCTCTTGGCAATATTTGTCTTGTGATATTCTCAACCTACGTCGATGCGCCCACTATCCTGGTGCTGTATATAAGTACCTCACTCAGATAAATTAATCACTTTTTCTTGACAAAGCATTTGGTCATAGTTTTCTCTGATGCAGTGCTGTGCTTGGTTACATTATTGATTGCCAATTTGGCATTGCCTTGTGGACTTCTGTACAATTATAATTTCCTAAAAAGAAAGGTAAAAATTTGACAAACTGTTTTCAGGCATGAATTCCCATGTCTTACTGTTGCCAGCATGGAGGCTAATGAGACCTCTCCTATTCCACCTCTGTTATTTAACGTTTCTCAACAGTCAGGGGGGGGGTAACTCTCAGTTGATGCTGTTCGTGAGTTGATTCGTTGTGACATGGAGACATAATGAAGCTGCTTTTCCTGATTATCCAGAACATTTTGGGGAGAATTTGGACTCAGTTTTTCCAATGCCTTCCTTCACTAGGTTGGCTTCTCACAAGGCCAATTTGGATCAACCACCTCCTTCTCCTTTTCTTCAATTAATCACTCGGGTTTGTGAGGTTCTGGTGCAGAAAAGTTAAGGGGAGGACTACTTAGTTTTTCCTCCTTCACCTGATATTGTTGTTCATGCTGGGAGGTTTACCACTCAGTTACGTGAGATGATAGCTATGCCTTGTCCTCCACATTTGTTGGAACAGCATGCTTTGGCTTATCACCACTGGGAGGACATCTGTTTAGATTCACAAAGGCTGGATTCCGTTTTGGACATGTGGGGTTCCAGACTGTGATCAATTTGAACAGATCACAATTTTATCGTGTTCATCTGACCCTCGCTGCTTTCCTGAGTTATTCATCTTCTCTCCAACTTTTGTCTAAAGCATCTCAGTATTCCCCAAATCAATTTGTAAAAAAATTGAGTCCTTTGCTGACTTCCACAATGTCTTGTGTGTTGTTGGAAGTTATTGGGTAGAGATGCCTTATTTGAGGGAGTTTGTCTACCTTCTGTCACACTCCGTGAGTTATGGGTGGCTCCTTTTCTCCATCCATTGTTGTTTGTAGGAGATCCAGAGGCATTGGAATCAATTTTTATGTCACCCATTTACATTCTTCATTGTCATCATTGGTCTCTTGATTTTTTTGTAATCTGGGAATGTCTTCTCATCGTGTGTCCCAACCTCAGCCTTCAGTTCCTTGATCTATTGGTAATCACAATAGTTTCTGTCCTTATCTTCGTGCTCTTCCTCTTGGGTGGACCGGTGGCAAAGACATTGGTGACTATCCTATGCTGGTAGGGTATGTGGGTGCACAGTTACATTATTTTCTGGAAGTCTGAACTTCCTTCACCCTAGATTCATGGGTTCTTCAGGTTCTGGTGTTGGGTTTGGTCATTCAGTTCATATCTCCACCTCCTTTATTCTTCTGACCTGTGTCATTTCCACCTTCAACAGATCCATAGAGTGTGGCTTTTTGTTTCAGGACTGTAAGGGACTTCTTGATCAAGGAGGCAGTAGAGAGAGTTGACCCCATTCTTCTGGGATTTTATTCCTGTCACTTTGTTGTGCCCATAAAACAGGAGATTGGCTTCAATTTATTGATTTTTCTCATCTCAACCAATTCTTGGATCCTCCTCGGTTCACCATGAAGTCCTTTCTCAGCTGACAATGGCATTTTTCACCAGGTCTCTGGATGATCAAATTTGATGTTGCCAACACATACCTTCACATACCCATAGCCAAGTCATCCCACTGATTTCTACGTTTAGTGTACAAAGGTCAGGTTCTGCTGTTCAGGGCTCTGCCCTTTGGCCTAGCATCTTCACTGTGTCTTCTGCAGAATGGTACAAGCTTTTTCTTCTCACCTCCCTTCTTTGGGTCTGTGCACACACTATTGTATGGATGACTGGTTACTTCTAGCACCATCTCATCAGATTGCAGAACAGCACACCCAGCCCCTCAACGTGGATTCCTGTACGTGGTGAGGGGACCTCCCAGGGAAGGTTCTGTATTTTCAGTTACTTTCTCTGGGATCTAAACATCCAACCACGTGTTTGCCGTGTGTGGCGACCCGTGAAGGGGAGGAGAGGATCCTGGTGGTTGAGTGGTGTCTAGGGCACTGCAACACACCACTTTGGCCTTGAATTCCTGTAGACGGGTGGACTTGGGGTGGCCCCCTAGGGTCAATCGGCTGGTCCACTGGGACTAGGGTCAACTGAGTACCAATGTTGGGCGTTCTCAATGGGTGTTGTGGACATTGTGTCTGATACTGGTGTTTGGGTATAGTGCTCACGAAACCCTGGCGTTGCTGCAGTGTCCTTGGTTGACATTGTAGTGCATCCCCTTGTAGGACTCCATGGCGGGTGGGGTCAGTGGGCACTGAACCTCTCTCTTTAAATATGGATCCCCCATTCCAAATAAAAAAAATGTTAAAAATCAGCTAATTGGTAAACGACCATGCCTAGAAGACTTTGAACAGCAGTCTCCATCACACAGTACACCTGTACCTCGCTTTTTGATCATGCGTTCACTGTCTGATAAATCTTTAGGGCAAATGTCTCCTTTTTTATTCAGAAGGGCTTAGAGGGGCTTGCTGGCTCTCCAAAGTCAGTTAAGAAGCTACGTTCTGGAGACATCTTAGTAGAAACTTCCAATCCTAAGCACAGTGAACTTCTCTTGAATTCAAAAGCCATTTGGGATATACCCATTGAGGTTACTCCCCAGGCTTCCTTGAATTCCTCACGAGGAGATATTGTTGAGAGGGATTTGAAATCTATCCCGAGACGGAGATCTTTGCTGGTTTCTCCAATCAAGGAGTTTCGGCAGTTCGAAGGATCTCCACCCGTCAAGATGGAATTATGGTGCCGACCTCAGTTTTAATTTTGACGTTTTCATCACCAAGTCCACCTGCCGCCATTAAGGCAGGTTATTTGATCTGTAAGGTACGGCCCTATATTCCCAACCCTCTCCAATGTTTCAGTGTCAG